ACTGAACTAGAACTGAACTAGAACTGAACTAGAACTGAACTAGAACTGAACTAGAACTGAACTAACTGAACTAGAACTGAACTAGAACTGAACTAGAACTGAACTAGAACTGAACTAGAACTGAACTAGAACTGAACTAGAACTGAACTAGAACTGAACTAGAACTGAACTAGAACTGAACTAGAACTGAACTAGAACTGAACTAGAACTAGAAATGAACTAGAACTGAACTAGAACTAGAACTGAACTAGAACTGAACTAGAACTGAACTAGAACTGAACTAGAACTGAACTAGAACTGAACTAGAACTAGAACTGAACTAGAACTGAACTAGAACTGAACTAGAACTGAACTAGAACTGAAGTAGAACTGAACTAGAACTGAACTAGAACTGAACTAGAACTGAACTAGAACTGAACTAGAACTAGAAATGAACTAGAACTAGAAATGAACTAGAACTAGAAATGAACTAGAACTGAACTAGAACTGAACTAGAACTGAACTAGAACTGAACTAGAACTGAACTAGAACTGAACTAGAACTGAACTAGAACTGAACTAGAACTAAACTAGAACTAAACTAGAACTGAACTAGAACTGAACTAGAACTGAACTAGAACTGAACTAGAACTGACCTAGAACTGACCTAGAACTGAACTAGAACTGAACTAGAACTGAACTAGAACTGAACTAGAACTGAACTAGAACTGAACTAGAACTGAACTAGAACTGAACTAGAACTGAACTAGAACTGAACTAGAACTGAACTAGAACTGAACTAGAACTGAACTAGAACTGAACTAGAACTGAACTAGAACTGAACTAGAACTGAACTAGAACTGAACTAGAACTGAACTAGAACTGAACTAGAACTGAACTAGAACTGAACTAGAACTGAACTAGAACTGAACTAGAACTGAACTAGAACTGAACTAGAACTGAACTAGAACTGAACTAGAACTGAACTAGAACTGAACTAGAACTGAACTAGAACTGAACTAGAACTGAACTAGAACTGAACTAGAACTGAACTAGAACTGAACTAGAACTGAACTAGAACTGAACTAGACTGAACTAGAACTGAACTAGAACTGAACTAGAACTGAACTAGAACTGAACTAGAACTGAACTAGAACTGAACTAGAACTGAACTAGAACTGAACTAGAACTGAACTAGAACTGAACTAGAACTGAACTAGAACTGAACCAGAACTGAACTAAACTGAACTAGACGAACTAGAACTGAACTAGAACTGAACTAGAACTGAACTAGAACTGAACTAGAACTGAACTAGAACTGAACTAGAACTGAACTAGAACTGAACTAGAACTGAACTAGAACTGAACTAGAACTGAACTAGAACTGAACTAGAACTGAACTAGAACTGAACTAGAACTGAACTAGAACTGAACTAAAACTGAACTAACTGAACTAGAACTGAACTAGAACTGAACTAGAACTGAACTAGAACTGAACTAGAACTGAACTAGAACTGAACTAGAACTGAACTAGAACTGAACTAGAACTGAACTAGAACTGAACTAGAACTGAAGTAGTAGAACTGAACTAGAACTGAACTAGAACTGAACTAGAACTGAACTAGAACTGAACTAGAACTGAACTAGAACTGAAATAGAATTGAACTGGAACTAGAACTGGACTAGAGTAGATTATCTACTCTCTATTCCAGAGTGCAAAAAACTGATTACTTTCTATTCAAAAGTAGAGTTAACTGTCTACTCTGGCCCAGAGTAGAATGGACTTCCTATTCTCTAGTCCAGAGTAGAGTACACTGTCTACTCTCTAGTCCAGAGTGGAATCAACTGCCCACATTTTACACTATCTACTACAGTCCAGAGTATAGATTGTAGTAGGCGTAGAAGACTACATTCCCAAAGTAAAATATATTGTCTAGGTTTGATTCCACTGTTCAGAGTTCAATAGACTGACTCTCTATAAATCTTGATTTATTAACGGTATTCTCTCAAACCTGCCATATATACTAATTAATCATCCATAAATCTTTGAAACCAAATATCAATGAATTCCCTTATACTATTCAAATTATCTAAATCTATGCAAAAATCTAGATGACAAAAAAGAATTACTACATAAATTTTATTAACCACAACCAATCAACGAGCATACAATCATCAATCGCATCTTTAAACATAAAAAAGCAGAAATAATTGTCTCTTACCATTTTTATATGTTTTTAATTAAATTTAAATCATAAAAAGGCAATAATACCAAAACTTTATTTTAAAATTTATAGTCTAATCTACTAAAGTTCTAAAAGAACAAACACACCCTAAAATGAATACTTCTGTAGTCGGAACCAAAAAAAAATAATAATAAATAAATATCACACTTTATTAGAACCATGTCTACAACTTACATCATCTAAATTTCTCCTTAACTCCAAAACTAAAAATTAAATAAAATAATAAAAACACATTGAATACATGCTCGTTTGTTTAATTTTTTTTTTAACAAAACAATTTTATTACAAACAAACAAAAACTTCTATAATAATAAAGCAAAAACAAAAGCTTTGACAAAACTAGTGATTCATTGAATAAAAAGAGTGGTTGCTTACAAAATGCCATAAAAAGCTGTCAGAACTAGAAGAAAGTCGAGTTGGAGTATGATTTATATGAATGAATTCTATTCTTTAGAAATGTGTATAGAAAGAAGATGTAACGCCAAAAATATTTGGCACATATTGGCCAAAATAAGTATTGAGTAATAGATATCTGTTATTGATTGCACAATTTCTTTGGAAGTGATGATGATGATTCTAAAACTATAACAAAAATATTGGAGTTTACTAACGATTGAGAATTGAGTGGAGGTAATACAGTCACAACTATCTAAGAGTAGACTATGGACTAGCCAGTGGACCAGTCTGTTAACTAGTCTTTGCTCTACTCCATTAAACTAGTCCTAGTCTATGATTAGTCTATTGACTAGTCTTTTGAATAATCGATAGAATAGTTTATGGACTAGCCTATTGACTAGTCAGCGGACTAATGTGTTGTCTAGTCTATTGACTAATCTGTGGACAAATCTGTTAAATAATCGATATTCTAGTTTATGGAGTAATCTGTGGACTAGTCTATTGGCTAGTCGGTGGACTAGTGCCTTAACTGGTCTACTTACTACAGACTAGTCTGTTGACAATGACTATTTACTAGTCTATTTTCTAGACTTTGGACTGAACTGAACTCAGAACTGAACTAGACTGAACTTGAACTAGAACTGAACTAGAACTGAACTAGAACTGAACTAGAACTGAACTAGAACTGAACTAGAACTGAACTAGAACTGAACTAGAACTGAACTAGAAACTGAACTAGAACTGACTAGAGAACTAGAACTAGAACTGAACTAGAACTGAACTAGAACTGAACTAGAACTGAACTAGAACTGAACTAGAACTGAACTAGAACTGAAACTAGAACTGAACTAGAACTGAACTAGAACTGAACTAGAACTGAACTAGAACTGAACTAGAACTGAACTAGAAACTGAACTAGAACTGAACTAGAACTGAACTAGAAACTGAACTAGAACTGAACTAGAACTGAACTAGAACTGAACTAGAACTGAACTAGAATGAACTAACTGAACTAGAACTGAACTAGAACTGAACTAGAACTGAACTAGAACTGACTAGAACTGAACTAGAACTGAACTAGAACTGAACTAGAACTGAACTAGAACTGAACTAGAACTGAACTAGAACTGAACTAGAACTGAACTAGAACTGAACTAGAACTGAACTAGAACTGAACTAGAACTGAACTAGAACTGAACTAGAACTGAACTAGAACTGAACTAGAACTGAACTAGAACTGAACTAGAACTGAACTAGAACTGAACTAGAACTGAACTAGAACTGAACTAGAACTGAGACTGAACTAGAACTGAACTAGAACTGAACTAGAATGAACTAGAACTGAACTAGAACTGAACTAGAACTGAACTAGAACTGAACTAGAACTGAACTAGATCTGAACTAGAACTGAACTAGAACTAAACTAGAACTGAACTAGAACTGAACTAGAACTGAACTAGAACTGAACTAGAACTGAACTAGAACTGAACTAGAACTGAACTAGAAATGAACTAGAACTGAACTAAAACTGTACTAGATCTGAACTAGAACTAAACTAGAACAGAACTAGAATATCTGGACATCTACTCTAACCCAAAGTAGAATAGACTTGCAACTCTCTAGTCTAGAGTAGAGCTGACTGTTATCTCTTTAGTCCAGATTGGAGTCAACTGCCCACTTTCTTTCTAGTATAAAGTAGATTAGACTGTTTCTCTATATATAGTCTAATCTGTGGATATATCGACTAATCCACTAAATAGTGGGCTCACCTTAGTATTTACGATTCAGTACAGTCTCGTTATTATGTAGACATTTATGATACCCACTATACAAAACCGAATGACCTTAAATAAATTCCACTTACTGTAACCACAAAAATTTATGAAAGAAAAAAATCTCTCAATGAAATTTTGATAAAAGCTCTTCATTACAACTAAAGCTCTAACGACAACCCTTCAAAAGCTTAGAAACCCTAAAAGAACCACATAAAAAAGCTTTAATGCAATTTTTTTCACACACCAACCAGCAGTTGTTTGTAGATATTATTAGAGAAAACGTGGAAAAATGGCAAGAAAAAAGGATTGTTAATTTATTAAAGAAATTATAGAAAATTCTAAAAATTAGATAAATTAAAAGAAAATAAATTAGTTAAAATAATAAAATATAGTTATAAAAAGTGAATTTGTTAAAGAAAATTTGTTAATTGTTGAAATATGTATTTAAATAAAGAATAATTATTATAAATGTTATATAAAGTTTAAAAAAGTTATTAATTAAATTTATTAAAAATATATAGAAGCATTTACCACAGTATTATATTTAAGAAAAAAGTTAAAAAATATTAATAAAATAAAAAATATTTAACTAATTGTTAAAAGTTACTAAAATAAAATTATATTTATAAAAGAAAAAATTCTAAAAAAAATAATTTTTGCTAAGAAAAGCTATATATAAGAAAAAAAAAGAAATAATACCGTTAATTATGTCAAATGTGACAGCTCAATATTTTACTATACACACAAACAAATGCGCGTTTTAAAACCAACACGTTCATTCAGTGTGTGGGGGTTCGAAATTAAAAGAAATTGAAGAAAGAAATAGAATACTATGTATATCTAACAAGCCTTAAAAAGAAAGCTTTTATTTTATGCCAATTTTGGAAAAAAAGAACCCAAAACAATAGCAAACAATAAAAAAAAATAATAAGAACATCAACAATTGTTCTTTTGCCAACGGAAAACCACAAATAAAACAACTAAATAATTTCTAAAATATAAAATAACCACCAATTTCTAACTAAAAAAACAACAATAAAATACGAGGAAAAAAACAATAGGAAATCAGCTGTTTATATTTATCTCTATACTAAAAAAAAAAAACAACAATCAACAACCATAACATTTCCGTTTACTCTCCTTGACAGAAATTCAACTTTAACCTACATTTAATTGAACATACACACACACACATTTCTACCCCATGTAAAGAGCAATGTAAACAAAGTTTGTTTTAACAAGAAATCTCTTTAGTAAACTCTCTTCAAGGTTAAATTTACATACAATTTGTTGCTGTTGCACACTCGCCTTCCTACTAAATACAACAACAAATAAATAATAAAAACAAACAACATTCATACACACACTCACATAAAACAATAACAATTATAAAAAATAAAACAAAAAGTGGAACCGGAAATTCATGCCAATTTTATTAATAATTCCGTAAAAAAGCCCATGAGTGAGTGTTACAAAAAAAGCCCATTACCCATAATAAATCTATGTATATGTTTGTGTGTAAAATACCTCTGTTTTTATACCAGCTATAAGTTTGTGTGTGTTTGTTTGTAAACATTTCTTTAACAAACTTTGCATTTTTCCCGTATGTGTGTATAATTCCCTACTTTTGTTTTGTTTCTATCGTTCTGTTTGCCATTCTAAATAAAAGTGTCATGTCAAAATTTGCTTTATGTAAACAAAAAGAAATGTGCATTTAATTATTAGTGTGTTTATGTATTTTAATTTAATACCCCAATAACAAAAAAAATTCAAATAAAATGGCCTTAATAACCTGGTGTTTTGAACCGAGGGAGATACCGGAATTTCTTGATACTTTCATACAGAAATGTACGGATCCATCGTGTAAGTAGTGGTTTTTTAAATTAATTTACTATTTTGTAACATTTGTAATTAGAATTCGGCAAATTGCGGTAATTATGTCTGCGTATGAGTGATATTAATTGTAATTAATATGACTAATACGTCCTTAAATAAAATTATATGTCAAATTTCTCAAATTTTTCTAGACAATAGACTAGACTACAGACTAGACTATAGACTAGACTATAGACTAGACTATAGACTAGACTATAGACTAGACTATAGACTAGACTATAGACTAGACTATAGACTAGACTATAGACTAGACTATAGACTAGACTATAGACTAGACTATAGACTAGACTATAGACTAGACTATAGACTAGACTATAGACTAGACTATAGACTAGACTATAGACTAGACTATAGACTAGACTATAGACTAGACTATAGACTAGACTATAGACTAGACTATAGACTAGACTATAGACTAGACTATAGACTAGACTATAGACTAGACTATAGACTAGACTATAGACTAGACTATAGACTAGACTATAGACTAGACTATAGACTAGACTATAGACTAGACTATAGACTAGACTATAGACTAGACTATAGACTAGACTATAGACTAGACTATAGACTAGACTATAGACTAGACTATAGACTAGACTATAGACTAGATAGACTAGACTATAGACTAGACTATAGACTAGACTATAGACTAGACTATAGACTAGACTATAGACTAGACTATAGACTAGACTATAGAGTAGACTATAGACTAGACTATAGACTAGACAATAGACTAGACTATAGACTAGACTATAGACTAGACTATAGACTAGACTATAGACTAGACTATAGACTAGACTATAGACTAGACTATAGACTAGACTATAGACTAGACTAAAGACTAGACTATAGACTAGACTATAGATTAGACTATAGACTAGACTATAGACTAGACTATAGATTAGACTATAGACTAGACTATAGACTAGACTATAGACTAGACTATAGACTAGACTATAGACTAGACTATAGACTAGACTATAGACTAGACTATAGACTAGACTATAGACTAGACTATAGACTAGACTATAGACTAGACTATAGACTAGACTATAGACTAGACTATAGACTAGACTATAGACTAGACTATAGACTAGACTATAGACTAGACTATAGACTAGACTATATAGACTAGACTATATAGACTAGACTATATAGACTAGACTATAGACTAGACTATAGACTAGACTATAGACTAGACTATAGACTAGACTAGACTAGACTATAGACTAGACTATATAGACTAGACTATATAGACTAGACTATAGACTAGACTATAGACTAGACTATAGACTAGACTATAGACTAGACTATATAGACTAGACTATAGACTAGACTATAGACTAGACTATAGACTAGACTATAGACTAGACTATATAGACTAGACTATATACATATATAGTAAAAACTTTAGTCCAGACTAAATCCTAGTTCAGACTATAGAGTAGACTGTAGTTCAAACTATTGTTTAGTCAATTGTCTGGACTGTATACCAGATAACAAACAAAAGTCTATAGTCCACGGTATACACCAAAGTCTGTTGTCCAGCCTGTGGACTAGACTATAGACTGGACTATAATGCAAACCATAGACATCCAGACTATAGATTATAATAACGTTTTGACCACAGACTAGACTATAGTTCAGAGTATAGATTAGATCATAGTCCAGAATTGTAGTTCAGACTTTAGACTGGAATATAGTCAGGACTAAAGGCTATACTATAGTGTAGGATATAGACTAGTCTATAATCCAGACTGTAGAATAGACTATAGTCCTGACTATAGCCTATATTATAGACCAGACTATAAACCAACGTCTTCAGTCGAATCTATTACCTAGACTATAAACAGACTAGGCGAAAGTCTAGACTAATCTATAACCCAGACTATAGATTAGACTAAAGATCTGACTATCGAATAGACTATAGTCCAGACTACAGACTAGATTTTAGTTTTTTTACTAGAATGTAGTCCAGACTGTTGACTAGACTATAGTCTACACTATATATTGGACAATAGTTCATACTATGTTCTAGACTATAGAGTAAATGTTTATGCAGACTTACTATTGCCCAAACTATGGACTAGATTTTAATCTAGCATATAAACTTAACTACAGGATAGATAAATTCATGAAATTCAACTTAAACAAATTTTATAGAAACCGAAATGTTTGTAACAAATTGTATGAGAATCGCTCCATAAGTAACCCTAACTCCCAGATAAGGTAGCCATTAGAAAATGAATTCAATACTCATAACTGGTTTAAAAATAAATCAAATATATGAAATTCGAAACGTAAGCTTTCTTACAAATATGTATTTTGTTGTTCGGTCTATTTTTAATTAACTAATGTCCATTCAAGGTGCATAGTACAAAATTAGAGTAACGCTCAAGACTGTCTTAAAAATGCCAATATTGTGATAAAATCCGTCATTAACAAGTTTCTAATAAGAAGCCATAGGATGCAAGGTTAAGGACCAGGTAAAATTATGAACACAATAAAGTAAACATACATCAATGCCTCATAGCCAATATACTACTCCATGGAACACCAAAAGAATCATCAGAATCACATAAAAAAGATGACATACTTGAAGCATTCAATTTAGGGAGTATAAAAACAAGTTTATGATTTTTATTGATAAAATCCATATTCACATACCTTTTTGTTTGAGTATTTTCCATCTTACAAAGAATTATAAACAGAATACTTTTTCTTTAACACACTTTTATTTCTTTTTGTATTTTAAGTTACTTAGTTTCACTACAATATCACACTTTTATTTTTCTCTACAACTTAAGCGCCAAATGTATCAAAACAAACTAAACAAACAACATCCAACTTTGACAGCTTGACGTTAAGTTATGGGTTGCCAGCTGATTGTGATATTTTGCACTTGTCTTTGCCAAAATGTTAGCTATTAATAACCGTTATTACTTTTGGAAAATTGTTCACTTTAAAAATGCTTAAAACTGGTCATATCGCCTTTAGTGCATCTTATGCAGTTTCCTATTATCAAAGAACTAACTTTTTTGCAATTTAGTGAAAATCATCTTTAAAGATATAATTTGTATTTAATCGGACTTTCTTTAACTCTTTTTATTATAATTCACGTTTATTTTTATTAGTATTTGACAAAAATTTTAAGAAAATTTCATTTATTTTAATGTTTTACCACCAAAAAACATTTCAAATTGAAAAATTTATAACGTATTTTCCTTAAGAGAAGATGCCTCTTCAACCACCTTATAAACATATAAATACAACCCTGCCACCATTAACTTGGCAGCACTTTAATAAACAGCTGTATGTCAAAATTCAATCTCACGCACACACGTCAAAACTTTTCAGCTCTCTCTTGTTTATTTGTCATCTTGGTATTTGTTGTTGTTTTCGTGGTTTTATGATTAAACATCATTTTTTTTTCTCAAGTGAAGTGCGTTTGATTTATAATAAAATTATTGAAAAACTATTAAAATAAATAGTGTAATTTTTAGTTAATTACATTATACGTTTAATAATAAACTAACAAATTTAGCAACAATGTCCGGTAAGAAGAAGAAAGTAATAAGAAAACTATATCAAAGTCTCAAGTGTAATCGATTATTTCTGCTGTGACAATAAGCCAAGACTTATGGAAAAGGGGTGGTGACCAAACTTTTTCTGTTTAACAAAAAAAAAGCCTTTAATGGAATACAAATTAATTCCTTTTTGATAATATAATAAAGAAATATTATAAATTTAGTGGAATTTCTAGTGACTAAAAGAAAAATGCAAATATAATAAGTAAATTCAGTGTTTTCCAAGTGAACTATTTATGATAAGATTACAAAGATTGTGGTGGTATGATTACAGTGTATATAAATATAGTATTTCTATATATAATATTTTGCTATACTATAGTTCATTTATTTGCTGAATATATTATTAATTATAAACGTATACCCCATTCTTTGTTGGTGGTTTGTTTGTTTGTTTGGGGTTGTTGTTTCTTTTGTGGATTTATGACGTTAGTGTTTTATTTGTTTACTTATAAGAAGGTCTGCTAATTGAAATGTGTCAACAAACTTTGGAACACTTTGTTTTTGTTTAGAACAGGTGGTGCTTGAACAAATGTGTTTTCTATTATTCATTCATATCGGTATAAAACTATGTGCCCCATTTGGTAGTTGTACATCAGATTTTAGCAATATTATTAAAAATAAATAAATGGATAAAAATTTGTTAAAAACTTGTGCTAATATGTAGTAATTTATTAGAACAGAAGTAGTATTAGTAGTCCAAAAAGTTACATTTGATAACATTAATAAAGATTCATTTCGAAATCTTCTACCTATCTCATGATAATAGAAAAATGCATGTGACTTTCATTTTTAGAATGTTGTTTTGCAAGATATTAGATAATTAAAAATAGGTAATCTGAAAGCAGTTAATATATCCCAAAATTTGGCAAACAACTGAGCTTATAGCCGATTTACCTGAAATAAATTATAACTTGACCATCAATCAGACGATTTTTCCACTAGTGCGCAAAGAATTGGTTGATATTTAGCAGATCTCTTGATTACAAATTGTCAGCACAAGAAACTCAATAGTTTCAACATTATAGTTTCTTCAAAGCTTCTTATAAAATCCGGTAATAACAAACCTTCTCTTGTGAAAGTCTCCTTTTAACAATCCACCAGCTTATTACCAGGAAAAGTAATCACATTTAACATTACTATTCGCAACAGTATTGATATCTTCTTTTGGTCAAAATTTCAATCGGAGTAACTGGATAAATGAGTCCTATTTGAAAAAAGTAAATTTACTGATTATTTCTGTTATGTTTTCACATGTAGAGCTTGGAGTTCACGACTTCCTAATGAAGTGGATAGTCTGGGACTCATTGCATTAGGAGCAGATTTAGTAGGGAAAATCACATGGAGATGTTTTATCTCTTCTGTTGTGGATACTAGCGGTTAACGTTATTCTAAAGCTATTTGAATCAAAAGAGACATTGATCGTATGCTGTGCAGATGACTTTTCGAAGAAAATTTCTATCCACTTTTAGTGACATCATGGTCACTACACTTGATAAGCTCTTGATATGAAAGAAACCCAAAGAACTGAATGTTTATCCTGGGAGAACTCCGTTAGATGGTTTTTCGGTTGGCCCCTCCTATGAAATCCCAGTAGGAATTGCTTTGACAGTATGGAGTTATGTTCCAAGACTGAAATCATCTTCGTCTCGTCATGCAGGTGTACTTCAGACGTCATTTGAATGCAGCCTGTTACTGTTCTAAGGGCTGCGTTTTGACAACTTTGGAGGTTCTTCCATTGTGTGTCGCTAACTCTAAGAGTCCACACTGGCGCTGCGTAGTTTATCACTAACTTATGGTTGTATTGTCTGGTAGAAGGTCTTCAAAAAACAATTATTGGAAGATGCTCAATAAAGCTCTCTTGGCATTACTCCTGCCATTACTAGTACTCCAAAGCGGCCTTGGAGATCATTCTTTACATGTCACCTATCAAACTCTATGAGTCTTTGTTAGTCAAATCTTCGTGCGACAATCACAACAAAAATTCTATATGAATTATGTATCTCAACTTACAGATCATAGAATTATGTATCTAAACTTCGAGGAAACTCCTCTAATGGAATTTCCAACTAAGGAAGATAGTATCTGATAGACTGTTTTATGTGTGTGGTACTTCAGACTCTCCGGCGAATGTAGTGTCACCCAAGCTGAGACTCTAGCGATCTGGAAATCGACGGAAATGATACAGAATCATATCGATCTAGGGTTGGTTGTGACAATATTCCGATAGTCGAGCTGCTCTTAGAACATTATCATGTCATACGACTGGTTGTGGATTGTAGAAATGCTCTTAGGGATATTATGAGACTGTTTACTAGTAGACAGTGTTGAGTACCAAGGACAAACTAGCTAAATAAGATTCAACCCTTGCCATTGATGATAGGAATAGAAGTGAAACCATCCATCTGTCACTATTATAGGTTGATTTTCGAGAGAATTCATGACATCATCAACCAGTCCTTAAATAGTAGAATGGATTGCAAAATATCAAGGGCCTTACAGCCAGTACTTGAAGTGAGGGCTACCAAGATACTTATAGGACTGGTTAGGTGTAATCTAAAGATTCTGACAGGGATCTTTAGATTAATTAGGGCCTGTGTCGCAAACCAATTATAAGAAACGTTTTAACCTCTGCTTTACAGAGACGATCAATTAACTTGGACCCTCACTTGATTGCGCCAGCATTCGTCTGCTTTCGAGTCCTCTTTGTATAGATCCTATCTCACTTTCCTCATTTTTTGGATTACAAAAGGGCGGACGGAATTTAATCAGTTTCATCCACTAGCTATTCTTGGCAGAGTAGTGTCTACATTGACGTTCATAATGAGCCCGTCTTAGAGTTTTTCAAAGACCCATAATATAGAGTTTATGATTAGTATTTTGATGTGTTGCAAACGGAAAGACAAACTCAATATACAAATTTCAATCTTTATTTAAGTAATCTGTGTGATAAATTTGCATAAATGTTTTTATTAAAGGCGCTAATTACCTTTAGCAAATGACACCTAGAAAACAGATACAGATTTTTGCTTTTTTTTTATTATAATCTCTTTTGAAAGTCAAACAAGCGAATTTTCAACAAATTCCAAATAAATACAAGATTAATAATTTAATTTAAAAAATTGTTTTGCAACAAAAAACTTTCTGTTTAAGTTTCTTTACACTAAAAAAAAAAACGAATAAAACTTTGTTATTAGTATAAAACTTTTCCACTACATAGCAATCCTAATCCTTGGAAAACTTCCCAAGTGAATGACTGTTACAAAGTGTTTGCATGTGTTAAACAATGACGATGGCACAACGTTGTTGACTAGCACAACAAAAATTATTGAATACTAACTTTTAAAAGGGACACAAAAACTGCAATTGTTATACTAACCCTATGTCGATTGGTATATGTTACTGCTAGAATAGGTTTTGTTTATAATATTGTTACCATTTCTTCCCTCTTTATAAGTATACAAATAGTAGTCATATGTGAAAACAATAGCTTAGCAAAAAAATAGAATAAAAAATAAATAAAAAGGTAGAAGAAAGACAAACGAATTATAAATACAAACGCGAATATACTCATTGATAACGTTATTCATTCATTTACGGAGACAAGCAAGTAGTCGTGGTTGGTGTCGTCGTCGTCGTCATCGTATACAACAACGACAGCAAGCAAAAATCTTCTAACCAACAGCCAGCCACTTACTCACTATGATAACTTTAGCAATGTTAACGGTTGTTTAGTACATAAACGTCTTCCTCGGAATAAACAACTCAGAAATAGAAAAAAAAAGAAAAATCTAACGATACAAGTCGCGTTGCTGAATGTTGCCTCAAATTTTAGTTTTTAAGAAATTTGATAAAATGTAACGTCTCGAGCTCTACCTCCCGTTTTTTCACACAAAAAACCACAGCAATTTGCCTTAAGTTGGCTTAAAGCATGTTTAGCTATAAATGCATGCGCCTTTTAATACCGCGGCCGTCTGTATCGCGTCCTCCCTGTTCATGTTGTTTTCAACCATGTTTTATACCCCTAGGTTGTTGCGGTTGCTGCTCGGCTTTAAGGCCACGCTATAAGCGTTTGGTGGATAATATATTTCCCGCTATACCCGAAGATGGTTTGGTCAAATCAAATATGGAAAAGCTGACATTCTATTCCCTTAGTTCACCCGATAAATTGGATCGTATAGGTGAATATTTGTATCAAAAGGCTACAAAGGATATTAATCGCAAACGTTACAAGTAAGTAGAAACAAATGCATTTGTTCCTTTTAGTCACAGAAAAAGTGACTCATTATTATTATTATATAGTCTGTCATAATACAATTATGTTTGAGTGTTAGTACTATTCCCCTTACATATTAGTTCTACATATTTATAATTTTATTATTATTATTATTCCTCATATTTATAATATGCTGCACTATAGTGGCATATGCTACTTAATTGTTTGTTTTAGTAGTTGTTACTTTTGCCAACTAATTTATTAAATTATTATGGTTTTTATTTGCATTTTTAAGATTTGTGGAAATTGCCATGGAAGCCATGGATATCTTACTCCAGGCTTGTCATGCTCAAACTACCCTAAATTTGTTTGTGGAATCATTTTTGCGCATGGTACAAAAATTACTTGAAGACTCGAATCCCAACTTACAAATTTTGGCTACAAATTCGGTAAGTGTTAATTATACAAACAACCATAAATACATTCCATCTAAATAACGCTAGTAATGTGTCATCATCCTCTTTATGTTTATTGTTATGAGAATTTTAGTAAGAAAAAACCAACATAATTAAATTAACTGTCCTTGCTTTGCAGTTAATTTAATTTTTCATTGAACTTGTAATAAGGCAAAATAGTTATAGTTGTATTGGCTTTAGAATAACCTTTAAATCAATAAGTGTAATAGAATAGAAAAGGCCACTGGGAAAGAACAAATTTTGCTGCACAACATGTTTTATTATTTGATAAAGCTTTTTGTTAGATATGGAAATTAGAGAGAATACTAATTGATTAGATTATTACCACGGTGTTGCAAATTTTTGTGGCAAAACGTATGACATACTCGATCAATACAAAACTCTGAGTAATCTTTGCTTAAAGAAACTGCATTAATTTAAACTTTTTCTCCATTTATCTTCAATAACAAAGCCAAAAGTTTTAAACACCTACTCAACACTTTCCCACGACAAATGGTTCTTCGCTCCTGCACGACCCGAATTATAATCGTCCAAAGTTTGTCAACTCAGCGACAGCTGTATCAACTGAAAGTTGTTTTCCCCAGGAAAGAACTATCGACCACATTGATACAACAACTCCTACTGAAACTAATCGCTGGAACAGTTTGATGTTTCCACCCTCGCGATCGTCGTACGATTCCAGATCCTTTTCAAAATATCACCCCTATTCTGCATTTTAATTCGGATCGAAATTTTCTTCGTCTGATAACTTTGATAATGCCTAAGCTTTTCGATTCATCGATCCGTCACTAAAATAACAACTTACAAATTTGTAGCTACCATCGTAAAGCATTAGAATGAAATGAAGCTGCTTCTTCTTGGAATACCTTCATTGCGTAACTGAATGCGAAATACAGGGGATAATGTTTCTACAATTCCAGCACTTTGGAGATAGACGCATCCCTGCATAGATTTGCGATATAATTCCAAGAATGAAACCAAAACAGGATCGCAATTAGGCATAAAGAAATGCGATGCTTTTTGTAAATTCTGAAAACGTTAGTATCATCCTTCGTTACCTCCATCCACTTAGTCCTAAAGCTTAATTCTAAATTATCATTTAGAAAAGTATACCCTGTACTCTAGGACAGTGACAGATGGTGTGCTGAGCTGTCCACAGTTTTTCAAACAGCCCACTTACCTAATAGCACAAATTACAGTTATAAACCCTATCAGAGTTCAGTTAGTATCTTGGTTTCTTTTGCAACAAGTCTTAGTCATAAAGCCTTTGATAATTTGCAATCCAATCTACTATTCAAGGACTGATTGATAATGTCATGAATACTACAGAGAACAACTTATAATGGTTTGAAATGGTTGGTTTTACCCATCCGTTCCTTACATATAAGTTAAGATTCGAACCTAATCTAGCAAGTTCGTTAGCTACCTTATAGTCCAGCTTAGGTTTGTTGTTAACATTTTACGACTAGATAAGAATATGATCCAAGTGCCTTGAGGATGCACTCGACATAAGTTATTATCACAGACTTAACATCGATATGATCCCGTTTCAGTTCCGTAGCTTTTCTGATCGCTAAGGTCTCCTCTTGGAAAACACTTCACTTGTCCTTCTTATATCTGTATCAGCGTTCTCATTCTCTATTACTTCCGCTTTGCTAAAGAATACGCTAATTCGGAAACCGATGGAGTATCTTCACTGGCTGATAAATAGTTTATTTATAAGAGTTCATCTGATTCATAGAATACCTTCCACTATGGGTAGTGAAGAATTATTGAAAATGTCGCGAATCTAGGTCTCTGTGCCACTTCTGCAAGAGATAGCACCTTGCGTTAAGCCAAGGTACATTAGATATGATACGTTAGATATAATTTAGCCCTTCTTTGTCGGATTCTCGTTTAGATTGATAAGGATTAGGATTTTTGAAGGAACTATGCTTTTTAAAACGTTTCAAATCAGTAGCCGCTGTTCTACATCCTCAGTAACCTTGGACTGCTTCCCTATCCTGTGTGAAAACTAAAGTCCATTGATAAGCAGATTTTTTCGAATCTCCTATGAATCAAATAGTGAGATTCTTGTCCACTTTAGTACATCGATAAGAGGTATAATTTTGAGTCACGGAAATGGTATCATTAGTGGTGTACTTTTGCGCTTCCTTACATGATCTTATTTGCATGAGCAAAGCAATATACTTAGATCTCTTAAAAGCTCTCAGATTGTAATTTACCAGTCTCTTTTTGAGTAACAGGAGTTTTTAAACAATCTTCAATGTTACTGTGTTGTGTTGCTATCTTCTAGGATCTGCAAGGAAGAAGTGATGTTGGACATTTTAGATTTAGATTTGCCAGCGTCTATGTTTAAAGTTCAGTACATTATAAACCACCTTGATTGTGTGTTTCTGTTTTTTAATGTGAGTTATTTAATGTTTTTTTCAACACGGTCACGTATTCCTAAATGCAACCGTGCAAATTTTGAAAATTTATTCAGCAACGAATATACAAGCAGAAACAAATAGTTAATCAGTTAAGTTGACAATGCATTGGATTTGTAATATTGTAAAGTATCGCCATTCTCTTGCTCCGTAAGCGTTTCGTCTAGTTTTGCCTCGAACTCGAAACTTAGGAAAATTAGTTGGAATGCATTCGAATGTAGAAAAGCTCTACTATACTTGATTTCGAAGAACCAAACATATCAATATTTTACTTCGAATCGGTTACATACTTGTAGAAGTCTATTACTACCACTCTACTCAACAAAGCAGTTTATTGCAGCATGAAACCGATGCTGTTGTAGTGTTGTGGTATCTCTAAAGATTATAAAGATGGAATGTTGTTGTTGTAACAGTTCAACTGTGGCCGAAACCTAGGGTTATGACTTGTAGGGACGACACGATATGAATTAGGGAGTAGCTATTGGACAGTGCGATACTATGATAGGTTTGTAGATAGGATACATGGTGTTCTTCTCACAAATTTCCTTGTTCCTGTTATTGTCCAGCAAAACAATCAGTGAGAGATTAGATATCATGAACATTTGGACCATTAAGTATAAGCTGTGGTAAGATCACCGTGGTATTATGAGATATTGAAAGATCATTAGTTTTTATTCTAAGTTGATTCCACTTAAGACCTAAAGCATGAAACTGACGTTGTCACAGTTGTGCCTCCGAAGTTAATAAAGATGGAATATAATGGACATTTGGTTAGGTATTAACATGTTGACAATGTAGCATTTCTTGGGTCCAAAGTTAATACCTTTGTAATGGACATTACTAAAGGGTTTTATACATTTTTGGTGTAAATTTACGCTACTTTAAAGGCTATGATGATGCGTTATCGGCCTTTATAGAACTCGCGCTACTTTAAAAGCATAAATCCTTCTAACACTTACACAGGCCAAAAAAAAATCGAAGTCCAAAAACCAAATTATACATTTCTAAAGTATTGGTTTTAGATTAATACATCTCAAACAATGAAGAAGAAATGACAGATATTCCAACTTTATTTTAAAGACGAAGGATTGGTCTTTCAGGTGACATAATAGATTTTATCAACAGTGGTGTCTTCGCGCTGTTATAATGTCCCAAATATGTCTTAAAAATAGTCACTGGGTTTCAACTTTTTCGTGTCGACTATTGTGTCGTAAAGTTTGGAAAACCCGCCTTTCTTCTCCCTTCTTCTATCTTAAACTAAAGCATGATTCAGTCCATTAGAAAAGTATACATGGTCTTTGGTTTAAGGGTATGGTCTAGAGTCGAGTGCTATCGATCTAGCTAGCGATCTATCTAGCGATCGAGCGGCGACGCGAGCGAGCGAGCGAGCGAGCGAGCGAGCGAGAGCGAGCGAGCGAGCGAGCGAGAGAGCGAGCGAGCGAGGAGCGAGCGAGCGAGCGAGCGAGCGAGCGAGCGAGCGAGCAGCGAGCGAGCGAGCGAGCGAGCGAGCGAGCGACGAGCGAGCGAGCGAGCGAGCGAGCGAGCGAGCGAGCGAGCGAGCGAGCGAGCGAGCGAGAGCGAGCGCGAGAGCGAGCGAGCGAGCGAGCGAGCGAGCGAGCGAGCGAGCGAGCGAGCGAGCGAGCGAGCGAGCGAGCGAGCGAGCGAGCGAGCGAGCGCGAGCGAGCGAGCGAGCGAGCGAGCGAGCGAGCGAGCGAGCGAGCGAGCGAGCGAGCGAGCGAGCGAGCGAGCGAGCGAGCGAGCGAGCGAGCGAGCGAGCGAGCAGCGAGCGAGCGAGCGAGAGAGCGAGCGAGCGAGCGAGCGAGCAGCGAGCGAGCGAGCGAGCGAGCGAGCGAGCGAGCGAGCGAGCGAGCGAGCGGCGAGCGAGCGAGCGAGCGAGCGAGCGAGCGAGCGAGCGAGAGCGAGCGAGCGAGCGAGCGAGCGAGCGAGCGAGCGAGCGAGCGAGAGAGCGAGCGAGCGAGCGAGCGAGCGAGCGAGAGCGAGCGAGCGAGCGAGCGAGCGAGCGAGCGAGCGAGCGAGCGAGCGAGCGAGCGAGCGAGCGAGCGAGCGAGCGAGCGAGCGAGCGAGAGCGAGCGAGCGAGCGAGCGAGCGAGCGAGCGAGAGCGAGCGAGCGAGCGAGCGAGCGAGCGAGCGAGCGAGGAGCGAGCGAGCGAGCGAGCGAGCGAGCGAGCAGCGAGCGAGCGAGCGAGCGAGCGAGCGAGCGAGCGAGCGAGCGAGCGAGCGAGCGAGCGAGCGAGCGAGCGAGCGAGCGAGCGAGCGAGCGAGCGAGCGAGCGAGCGAGCGAGCGAGCGAGCGAGCGAGAGCGAGCGAGCGAGCGAGCGAGCGAGCGAGCGAGCGAGCGAGCGAGCGAGCGAGCGAGCGAGCGAGCGAGCGAGAGAGCGAGCGAGCGAGCGAGAGCGAGCGAGCGAGCGAGCGAGCGAGCGAGCGAGCGAGCGAGCGAGCGAGAGAGCGAGCGAGCGAGCGAGCGAGCGAGCGAGCGAGCGAGCGAGCGAGCGAGCGAGCGAGCGAGCGAGCGAGCGAGCGAGG